AAAGGTTGATTTCACATATCACTTTGGTGTCCGTCCCTCACGAATCGTCTCTTTCGCGCTCCGTCGCCAGATCATTCTTGAGAATCGCATGCGCACATTCTTGCAATTAACTATCGCCCGATTGAGAACCAGTGAACCGCTGAAACTTTTATGCGCATTATGATACTTCCTAGAATCTTCTCACTTATCTGTTGAAGCAACAAAATTCCACTCGATTCGTTGAACCCTCAAAGTTACCTTGAAAAATAAGCTAATCGAGCGGTTGCAGAGATTCCACCGCAGTGTACAGATGTGATCGATGTTTGGGGATCAAAAGGCGATGCCACCATAATGTGGAAGCCACCGCCTCATTTCGGTGAGCCACTCTACTATCATGTCCGATATGGTAAATCACAAATGCAGGTGAGCTAGATACATGGATTTTGTTTGCTTGCATAGAATCATGAAGGGGACTGTATGCTTGTACCGAGATTCTTTACAATTATAAACACTTAATTGTCGTCGACATTTGCATGATGTGAATTTCTTGAAATGAAAAAAACCTCAATTGATACCGTTACAATAATTACTTCAATAATTGCTTTTTTCCTACTCAACCTTTAATTGTGCATGTACGCTCTATTTTATGATGGTAATTTATTGCTTCATTTTAATGCAAATCATGTATGGTCGTGTCATTGACACAAAGACCAACGTGATGGAATTCACATCAAACGAATGCGTAAAATGAGATCCAACTGAACCAAATTGTTTTTTCGTTTCATAAATCCACATCCGGATTAGAGGCCAGCTATCAAATGCAATGAGATGGTGTTGTGAGCAATTTTAGGGAATACCACCGTTCGTTTCTTGGAAGATAGTGTCACGTCGTGAGGTGAAAACATCCGGCACCACGACTTCGATGAACGTTAAAATCGATGAAGATGCTGATTACGGTGTACAAGTTTGTGCTGTTTATAATCAGCAACGTAAAAAGCCGAAATTCGGTCTCGCCCGTGTCACTCCGTTCATGTGCACTTCGTGCAAAGCAATACGTTGGTTTTAGTCGCGGTTCAGTTATATGATTTCCCTGAATGATCCATGTCTTAACGATCAGCATTTCAGAACCAATTTAGCCCGATATCGTTACCAAAGTATTCTATGTTAAGGCTATAAAATGTTCGTTTTGTGAGACGAAGTATTAGTATGAAGCACCAGTTTCAGCTGCTAAATCGCTTGGACATTGTGGTGAATGCTCAAAAATTGAAGGACCATTGCTGTTCGCTCGACGATGCCATCCAAAGGGTGGTATCAAATGTACATCCCCTTCAAGCCTACCAAATAGCACAGAATTGGACAGTGCTGCACCACTACGTTAGTTCTTCNTAATGTTCCATCTTCCAAAGAAACTCTATCTTCGAACGCATTGATGCGGCTAATAGTTTACCATCCACGGAAAGTTACCTTTGAAAAGTCAAATTGTGTTTGATGAGAATTTTTCTTTTTGATAAAATTTGGGCATTTCAATTTGACAATACAATTTCAGAAGAGTTGAATATGGCATCTGCGGACAGCAATGTTGTATCTCTTTCGAATGTTCCACTCCATATTGAGCATTCCGAACGCGATAATATAACGATTATTGAAACGGTCGCACCAATGATACACCATTCGAAAATTGTTTGTGTTTGATCTCTTTTCAAATTCTTATCTTGTTTGCCAGCCATCTGTTTTGCTGCTCGAATTTGTTCACGTTTCCAACTCCTGAAAGGAAAATCACGAAAGTCAGCGATTCATTGGCTATGCCATTACCAGGACTTTTGCCTAATAAATCACCGTAAAAAACACGATCATTTTAAAATTTATCTCCATTCTCGACCTGATTGCTTTGTCTTCGCGGCTGAATTTCGTAGAAAATTTGAATCGGGTTCGATGAAAATGAAATTATTTATAATACAGCTAATTCATGCTCATGATTTACTCGAACTCATAATTTACTTGCATTTTCAGTTTACACCACAAGGATCGCCACTAGTCACAAACAAACAACGAATTGATCTGATGAAAACAACCATTACTCCTTTGCCTCTCACCACATCACAACCATCCACTGAAACATCTCAGCATCATTCGACTACACTCAGAAGGTGAAAAATCCAATCTTTGAAAACAAACTAATATAATGGCTACTTTTCGATGGCTTAGTAGTGTAACATGGTCAATAACAGGAGTTCCATAATCGTGTCATTATTCAGAACTTATAACAATCATTGAAGACGCATATTTATTCAGGCATTATGGTGTCAGCGGGTTTAAGTCTATTTCTGTATAATTGCAAGAAATTACCCATCCAATCGTTTCAAATGACTGTCCTTCTTTGCAGTTCACCACAACCAAAATCAACACAAATATCGACAACAACAGATCAAAAATCCAGCATATCCACGCCAACATCTACGACTGAAATGGCCTCTGAAACGGCACAATCCGATACTATTGTCACTTCACAGCCATTCTCGACGAATGGAGAAATCTTCCCTAGTTCCGATACGGAAGATGTTCAATCACCAGAACCTACTACCTCAGTG